GCAGCTCATTAGCTAATGGAAGCCCCGGCTGGCCACACAGCTTGCAGGCAGGAGGCTGTGGAGTCACTGCGAAGGTCGGCCTCCTCCGAGCTGGCCCTTGGGTGGAGAAGGCTGGGTGGCACTCAGGCCTTGGAGACCTTCTGCCTAGACTGGAACCTTGGGCGTCAGGCCTGGCTGGAGCCGTGGATCTGCGATGTGGGAGGTCATGGTGAGCTCAGAGCTCAGAAGAGCAGCAAGCATCTCCCTGCCTCTGGAAACCGGGCTGAAATGATCTTTGTAAAGCTCATGCGATGGTCAACAGTGATGCGGGGAACCAAAGCTCTGACGCCGTCTGGTTACACACCACTCATTCGTACAGCACAGTGGGAAAAGCTCTTGCTACATGGAGCCTACTGAGAGCCGGGCGAGAGCCTGCAGTCCATTTTGAGCAGTGCTTACAACATTAAATTCCGTGGTATCCATTTTCCTATCCCTGTAGGCGTCCAACGTGATCTGCTCTGGAAGCAGCTGCTAGTAAAAGCTCTGCTGGTGAAAACCTCTTTTACTCTTCCCTAGTGGACGACACTGGGCCAGTGTGGCGATGGGGTCACATCACTCAGGGCCACACAAGTTGCCCCCAAAGGGCTCTGGACGCTGAGAGGGTGCCTGCTCCTGTGGGTGGCCGCCGGCCCAGGGCGCCCCTCTTGGAGCTGCTGACCTCACTGCCCAGTGCACAGGGGCTGGGGGCTCCACACTGAGGAAGCCAGGCTGGAGTTTGCCTGCGGCAGGGGCTCTTCAGAGGCTGCAGAGCTCAAGGGGCGGGCGTGGCTGCTCAGAGAGGAGAGGCGCTCGCAGTGTGATGTGCACTTTGGATTCCAGGACCACACTGTGAAAGGCCAAGGGGAGCCAGGTGGGGTGGTGCACAGGGAGGCTGAGGCCGGAGGATTACAACAGAAGCAACTTTTCACCTCTGTCTTCCAGAGAAGTAAGGAGATGAACAAGGGCTGAGCATGAGCTCAGGTCAGGGTGAAGCCTGGGCTCCATCCTCAGTGGGGTGGGGAGAGGAGAAAGAAGCAGCAGAATGATGGGAGAAGGAGGAGGAGGAGGAAGAGGAAAGGGAGAGAACGTGAAACACTCATAGGGATGCTTACACTGGCAGTGTGTTTTCAATGATAATATTTTGGATATGTGGTTTAAACAAAATTTTGTTGAAACTGAATTTGCCTCTTGCTGCTTTTCAAAGCTGAGGTTCAGCGTTTGACAGCTGCATGAGGCCCGTGTTTAGCCTGGCGGGAAGCAGCCAGGTCCAAGACCTCAGGACCAGGTCTGGGCAGGACCCGGGACAGAGGGAGCAGGGTCAAAGAGTGAGACAGAGCTGAGCAGGTGTCCAGGCCCCATGGGGAGAGTTACAACTGAGAGACAGAGAGAGAGAGAGAGAGAGAGAGAGAGAGAGAGAGAGAGAGAGAGAGAAAGGAGAAGGAGAAGGAGGTTAGGACAAAGAGGACGGGAGAGGAGAGAGAAATCGAGGGAAGGAATCAATGAAAAATAAACCATGGAAGTAAGTGATCTTGAAGATTCTCCGGTCTCCCCGTGGCCCAGATGACTGACACTGGGGTGCGGCCGGCCGTCATCCTGAGGAAGGCTGGGCGCGTGGACCCCGCTCTGCTCTCCAGGAAAGCGTAAGGATCGTGAAGTCGCAGGCTCAGTCGCACGAAGGATCTTTGCCAGAAAGGAGGATTTAACTCAGGCCATCTCAGCCAGTCCAAGTCCAGCGTCGCTGCCAGGCTGGGGGCCGTGCCGTTGGAAGAGGACGTCCATGGGCCTCGGAGGGCAGAGTGCTGCACACTGCACGCCTACCAGGCCAAGGCGCGCTGCGCTCCGCCTGCCTCGCAACCGAACCCGAACCAGAACCGGGGGATCGAATGCTGCAACATCGTGCTCCCCTTAGGAGTCACATTCTGGTAACGGAAACTGATCAAAAAGGAGCTGTACGTGACAGCTGAATCGAAAAATTATAACTGTATTTCAACTTAGTTGTCGTATTGCATGGGGTTTGAACTGCGTGTGGTACATCCATGGAGCTAAACATCAGACATTAGAATGGACGGAGAACAACGTGGCCTGGCTTGGCTTTAAAAAGAAGGATAATCTCACAAATGCTGGTGGGTGTGGCTCTTGCCTGCCAGAGCTCCTGGGTGTATGGCGTCCTCTGGGAAATGTCTCAGGGTCATCTCCAGTGAGCGAAGGTCACCGTGCCAGGAAGCTATAAGCAACTGTGCAGGTGGAGGAGCAGCTGGAGGGTGACCCGGGGCCCCCAGCGCCTCTGCAGGAAGCGCCCACTGAGGCACAGGAGAAGGCCAAGCCCGAGCCATCTCTGCCTTCTACCCGGGTCAGAGCTGTGTGCACTGCCCAGTCCAAGGTTCCTCTGTGCATGCGGAGAAAAGGGGGCGTGCAGGCACTGCTGTGGGCTTAAGGGGAAGCCGCTGCAGAGAGCACGGGGAGCTCCCCAGAGCCCCACATCAGGACTGCATCCAGTTATCTCACTCCTGAGCACAGCTCCCCAGGAAGTGAAGTCTGAGAGGCCACAAGACACCCAGGCTGCTCACCACAGCCAGGAAATGGAGACAAGCACAGGGTCCAGGCCCTGGCAAAGGGACAGGGAAAATGAAATACCAATGAGGAGTGAAGGAGAAGGAAACCCTTGTCACTCCCAGCAGCATGGGTGGGCCTGGAGATATTTACGCTAAGTGACGCAGCCAGCCACAGAAAGACCAGCACTGCAGGACCTCACTTGTATGTATGAATATAAACTTGTTTTTCAAAAGTTGATAATAAAATGCTGTCACCTGAGCAGGCGAAGTAGTGGTAAGAGGTGGGGAAGGTTGGTCCACAGGCCCTAAGTGGACTGGGAGAAATACGCTCTGCTCTGCTACTGTGCAAAGATGACCACAGGTAATGATAATTTACTGTGGACTGAAGAACTAGAAGGATGTTTATCCTTCTTTATGGCAGAGTAGTGCTCTGTTATATATAACACAATGGGCCCTCGAGTTACGACTACCCTGACACGATCAACTTGGGTTATGACCAGAATTTTAGCTTTAACTTATGACCAAAGTCTTGAGTTAAGACCTGAATGCTGGCCGCTTGTGCTTCCAGATGGTCTCAGACAGATTTGACCCTTAAAACGTGGTGGAAGGAACCCCTTCCTGTGTGGGGTTCGTTGAGAAATCCTCGGCCAAGGTCTCTCTGAGGACACTGAGATCTGCCTGGAAGAAAGTGTGCCCTACAATTAGAGAGGAGAGAGACTCTGAAGGCAACTGACCAACTTCTGTTATAGCCAGCCCTCGGGAATGAACTGAGTTCGTAAGTCAAGGGTCCACTATGCCACATTTTCTTTATCCATTCATCTGTTGATGGATGGTTTTGAATATTTTCACCATAAAAAATGATAAAAGTTTGAGGACACAGACACATATAATCTAATTTTAGCCTTAAAGAGTGCATACATGTATTGAAGTGGCACACTGTCCTCCACAGATATGGAGAGTTTATGTGATTATGTACCCATGTGACAAGACATTGACACTGAAAGGAAAAAGCCTCCTGTTGGAATTCTAGCAGAGTAAGTGGTGGGGTCTGGGGAAACCTCTGCCCTTCAGCCCACTCTCCAGTTCAGGCTCTGAGCTTGGAGAGCCCTCAGCCACCAGGGCCGAGGGAGGGAACGCTGTGGGTCCAGAATGAGAGTTGCAGGTGCACAAATGTCTTCTTGCCTTACCTCAGTCACCAGGCCCAGGGCAATAGACTTGCAGAAATGCATGTTTGCTACTTGCGTAATTTGGACTTTTCAAAAACGAAGTATATTTTTAGTTTATAGGAGATAACGAAAGAATAAAGAATTGTTCTTTGGTAGAGGATACAGTACCAATGACCTGTGCTGCTCTATAATGGGGAGGTTGGGGGATCCCCAGGACTTGGAGGGAAGCTGAAAGTGCAATGATTCAGGTTGGGGTTAGAAAATGCATGAGGACCTCTAAGGACAAGGGCAGAGAGGCCCCGCCCTGAGGACTCTGCAGAGCAGGGCCTGCTCTCTGGGGCCCTCCCTGGCCTTAGGGTGCCAGCTCCCCTGCCCCGGCCCTGGGGCTCAGGAAGGGCTGTAGTGCACAGGAACTGTGATGCAGTCAGAAATAGCCCTGAAAACCATTCCATTTCTGGGGTTGTAACTTACGCCGCAGATCTTACAACTATTTGTTCTAAGAAAGCCACTGGAAGGGATCATAGTGTCAGCTCTGAAACTTTACCTTAGCGCTTTTTTTTCTCCTTGAAAATACCAGTTTGCACAAATTTTTTAATGAACTGCAAAAACCAAGCCCTAGTGTTCTCTTAAATTTCTTAATATTTCCCACAGGGAAGCAGTCAAAACAATTGTCTGCTGTTTTCAGCATGATTTGTAAAATTCTGGTAGAATTAATATACTGTGTGGAAGTCACAAATTAATAGTTCAATTTTGTTTGTTTGCTTTGAAGACATTGATGATGGTGACAAAGACTTTGCTCCATCACTGATGTCATGGATTATTTAAGATAGTTATCCATAAAAGGACACTTTAGGGTCGTGCTAAGAAAATCCTTTATCGCCCATAAAATGAAATCCCAAGAATTCAACCTCACTGCAAATGAAGAGTTTTTAGACTCGAAGGCAGGCACATAAAACTCCCCAGGGGACCTGGTTATGCATCCATGTGCATCCTGTGTACAGAGGGCCCAGGGGACCCTGAGCAGTGCTGCATGAGTGTGCTGTGTATGTTGCTTGCGTCTTTGCGGAAATGTGAGAACGCTAGCACCATGGAAGGGAAGGTGTTTGCCTCCTCACACACCTCGAGAAAATATTTCTTTTCTAACCACATCCTTTCCACCGTGGTCTTCTCCATCTACAGACCGAGCTTTGCATTTAAACCTCACCAAATATTCAGAAAGAGACGACCACCCAGAGGGCGGGGCCTCACTGAGCAGGCGCCTTACCACGGCAGATGGGCCGGTGGTCGCTCCACGCTGCTAGCGTCTCTGTCACTCTCTGGCACGTGATGGCCTTGGAGCCCTGGAGCACGTAGTTGTCCTCGCAGGAGAACTGCACACTCGCACCAACCCTAGGCATCGAAGAAGCAGACAGGACAGGTAGAATTACTCACAGAAGCCCTGCTAGGAAGGAGCTGAAGAGGGGCTTCGGTGGAGTCCTCAGGGAGACAGCCCCAGGTGGTGCTGCAGGGAGTCAGGAGGGACTGGGTGAGGCTGGGAAGGGAGGGAACACACAACCTGGCCTTGGCATCTTGGAAACAGAGAAGACAAGAGGGCAAAGGCAGCCTTGACGCGCACTTCGGCTTACAAGAGCCAATGTGCAGGAAGGAACTCTGGGCCCCGAAAACAAAACTAAGCTGGTCATGATGCCACTGGGATAAATATCTTTCAAAAGCAGGGATGGAAAAAGTCCCGCCTAAGGAAATGCCTCGTAAGTATGTACAGGCCTTCACAAACATTTATCAAGTTCAAAAGCAGGCCGGAGACATAGTTCAAACATACATGCAATAGGAAAAGAGTCATTTGTTTTAGGAAACGGCAATCCATCCAACCCAGAAGTAGATGAAGAACTGCCCGGCCCCAGAGCTGATCTGCAAACACAAAGCTTTAAGGTTGTACCCATTCACAACAGAGTGCATGTGGGACGGGCCTGTGCAGCCGTGCGAGAGACGTCGTCAGGTCCGTACACTGCAGGGCTTCCCCAGAGCCTGACGGCTGGCACTGAGGGGACGCAGGGACGCTTCACTCTCTGACAAGCCCATTCTTACTAGAAGGAATTCTGCTTGTGTTTCCATCTGACAAAGCCCAGGGTGGCTGCTGAGGAAGCAAGAGGAGTCGCTTGCTGGCGAAAGAATGTGAAGATCTCCATGCAGATGGACTAGGCAAACAATGGATCGAAGATCAAAGGAGGACAAGCAGATGCCTCCATCCTGCTGACTGGAAAAACGTCCTCCCAAGCAATGCCAGGGGAGACTTCCAGGGACTGCAGTGGCAGTGCCCCACAGGAGTGGCACTCATCTTTCTCAGGTGCTCATGGAAGTGTGAAAGTCCTCAGGTCAAATCGATTAGGGAAATTCCAGGTTAAACAAAACTAAAATTCCTTTTAGTTTTAGCTGAAGGAATCCTCAGCTAAAATTTAACACAAAAATTGATTTGCCTAAGTAAGAGAATGTAGAGCACGAGCAATTGCCCAGATATACCTGGCTAGGAAGCCTATTTTTCAACAAGATCCATGAGGAACTTGAGTTACATGAAAATAATTTTGAGAAAACTGCAGTATAGGTACCTGCTATGCACTTTTCTAGAAAAAAAAATGCACTCTTCAGGCAAAAAGCACAAACACAAAAATACAAGCATAATTCTCAGTTGCATTATCAGTCACTGCAGTTATTTAAGACAGTTTTAATTTGTAGATGTAGCGTGACATAATCCATGATCATTGGTCTGTGTTTAAGCATCTGGACCACACTGAAAAAATGAGGCAAATTAAGAATATGGGTTTGAAAGCAACTCTGATATCCATGTGTTCTTTCTTCAAGCCCCAGTTTCTGTATCTCTCTATTCATTTAAACCTCAGTTTCTACATTTTTCATCATCATTTTAGGGCATTTTCATGGAACATCTAGACTGCCACACCCTGCTTTAGGCAGTAATGGTGCAGATACGAATAAGAAAATCAAAGCCCAGCCTCATAGAGATAATGTGATATTTAAGGAAGGAAAGAATAAGTAAATATGAAGAAAATGAAATTGTCTTGCATGCTGCAAAGGAAATCAAACAAGCGATATGATAAGAAGTGGGGTAGAGAGGGCCTGAGTAGATCAGCACTGCGCGCGGGCCTCTGACCCTAGGGTGCTGGTGTCTAACGTGCTATTTCAAGGGTGATCAAACAGGAAGGAAAGGAACAGGGCTACTGCTCCCACTCTGCAGTCACTGGATTTCAACCACAACTTCAAGTGGCTCCTTAGCTCCAGGGGCACTCTGCTCCAACATGACCTCCACTCTCTCACCCAGGCCTTTCACGCACACAGTGACCCTGTGGGTGTTCTCTCTGAGTTGTATTTGTATTTTCAATAAAAGCAATCATGAACCTGAAGCTTCAAATGCTCAGGCAAGGAGAGCCAAAACAGACAAATGAGACGCCATCAGACTCCGAATCTTAGGCAAAGCAAAGGACATGTCCACAGAGTGAAGAGAAAGCCCGCAGGGTGGGAGAAAGCATTTGTGATCCATGTATCTGATAAGAAGTTAATATCCAAAAATATAGCAGAAGCCCAATTAACTGAAAAGGAAATGCACAAATAATCCTCTTTAAAAATGGCCAAAGGGCCTAAGTAGACATTTCTGAAAAGAAGACATAGAAACAGACAACAGGTGCATAACAAGGACCTCACTGCCACTAAACATCAGGGAAATACAAATCAAAGCCTCAAAGGATAACATCACAGATCCTAGGATGGCTATTTTGTAAAGAATAAAACATAAGGGGTTGGCAAAGATGTGGAGAAAAGGGAACCCTTGGGCACTGTTGGTGGAAATATAAATTAGTACAGCTGTTATGGAAAACTGTATGGAGGCTTAAAAAGTAAAATACAGAGCTGCCCTGTGATTCAGCATCCCCACCATGGGTGTATATTCAAAGGCAATGGAAGCAGCGTGTCAGAATGATATCTGTGTCCCCAGTTCCTTACAGCATCACAAATAATACACAAGATAGAGAATAAAGCCACACGTCCACCAAGGGATAAATGGATGAGGAAAATGAAGCATGCACATAAAATAAAAGAGTATTCAGCATTAAGAAATAAAGGAAAGTCCTATAGTTTCCAACAGCATGGATGAACCCAGAGTAGATTATGTTAAACACCATAAGCAGTGGACAGGGAGACTTATACCACACGATCTCACTCATGTGCAGCATATCTCTACAAGTAGAACTCAATGAAGTAGAGTAGAACAGCGATTAGCAGTGGCTGGAGGGGGAGAAGGACTGGGAAAACCCCCGCCCAAGGACACCAAGTCCCACTCCCACTCGGAGGAGTGAGCTCAGGGGACCTCAGCCACAGCACAGTAACTGTGCTTAGCAGCGACACACTCCTTACTGAACACTGCTGGCACGGGCTTCCGATGTTCTCATCGCACTAAACATGCAAGACGTATATAAGGTGATAAATATGATTTAACCTCTCTACAGGGTATGCACATCTCAAGATATGTGCCTAGATAATAAATATATCCAATTCTCATCAATTTAAAAGGAGATACTATTAACACTGTGACTAATCAATGTGATTTCTGGCACTATAGAGCAATCCTCCAACATGATATAGAAAAATCCTGTTTGTGATGAATTTGGAAGCCATAAAAATGTCCAGTAGGACTATGGTTGAATAAATTATGTCCAGATATGTTTGAAACAATACAATATCACTATATAAGAAATGAACATAAAAATATATAGGAATAAAGGAAAGAAAAGAACAATACACAAAACTTCATACATCTTAGATTTCAGTGAATTATATCTGTCTCTACAACTATACATCAAGAAAAATAGATACAAAACCTGTTTTGTGAAGGGTATTATCATCTTATTAGGAGTGATCAACATATATGTTGAATTTTTAAGATCATACTATTCACTTCCAAAGCACCATTTTGGATGATTATGATAAAAAGTGAATTCATTCATCAACCCTGTTTTGCATTTTGACAAATTAATATGTGCTTAAATATCAGTGATCTATTTTCCCAGAACATTACTTAAGTGGATATTTTATTTTGATGAAAAGAACTGCTATTCAACATTGGGAATTTGTACCTTTGTATGACGTATGTTGGTTCTTATTTTCCCCTTCCCCTGCCCTCCCTTCAACTCCTCCATCCCTCCCTATTTACAGAGACTTTGTTTCTGATTTTTCATTTTCTCATATT